ATATGGAACATTTGCAAGCGTATAATCGCAAGCTGCTGGAAAATATTTTACCTGTGCATGTTGCGGAACATTTTCTGAGTCGGGAAAAGAATATCGATGTAAGTACCTTTGGTTGGATTGTACATATGCATATTTTTTGTAACTTTGATTTGAAGAATATATTTTTTGAACATTCCGTGCTTACTCTCTGATAAACAGCGACAATAGAATTTAAATCGATATATAAAAAAATTTAAACTGAAGCCGAATTTACACTACACTGAGAATAGACTTTAGTTACGTCAACCAAATATGTTTCTCTCAATACATGATTTGGATATTAGTACAGTCATGCGTAGAATATTAACACCACCAAGCAAAATCCTGTATTTTACTTTAAAATCCTGTATTTTACATAAACATTTAATTAAACATAAAATTGTACTTTATCATTTACTATTTATCCCGGAAAAGTCAAATTCGTACGTACGTACATGGCGTATGAGTAACATTCTCATCTCGTCTGAGTAACTCATACGCCACGTACGTACTAACGTACGACTTTAACATTTCAGTGATAAATGGTAAATCCAATATGCAGCCGCCATTTTTTATGAACCCGGATTGATTTTTTTTAAACGAATCTAGGTGATTCTAATTTTTCTGCCGCCATATTGGATCCGCATTTTAAATTTTTAAAACAGTCCCCACATTCATAATCAGAAACCCGTTGGAAAGTATGGTTGGACTAGAGTTCGATATATCCAAAGCTAAGGAGACTGACCACAGAGTTGAAACATCTAACAAATTATTCCTTACATGCATAAAAAAAAAAATCTCTGCGTTAATCTCATTTACTTCACAATTTAATCTACGCTAAATCTCCTTTTGACTAATAAATTCCAAATTATGAGTACGTACATACAAGCTATCACGGTATTATAAAGAAGATTTTATACAAATATATTTATATACGTAATACATACTTTTAATATATACAACATATACATATATGCACAATAACGCATTCATGTATGTACGTACATGCATATGTATGTATCGTCTCTATGCTGAATGCCATAAATTAAAATTTTTTTCCCTACTTTTCTTTTTCTTTACGCTGCCACATCAACGGTTGACAACCACTGCATTTTCCATGAAACATCAACACAACCACTAAATCAACACTTCACTGACACTTGATTAACGCCACTAACGCCACCAACAAATACCAAATAATCTGCAACAACAACTATAACACCATGTTTGCTGCATGCACTATGGATTGTGCTGGTGCTGCATTGCTGCTGGCACGGATGGCCTCTTTCATATTGCCGCCCACGCACGCCAACACTGTCATCATCACATCGAATGCCAACAACTCTGGCTGGTGTTGCTGGCGACATTTAATAATGGCGTAAAATAACGTAGGATCTCTACCATGAGCAATGTGATAGTGTGTGTATACTGTTTGCGTCGATACCGAATTTTTCGGAGTTCTATGTTGAATTAGAAGGTAATAATGAGGGCGTGGAATGTTTGCGTCTACTCAACGAGATTATCGCCGATTTTGACGAGTTGCTAAGTGAGGAACGTTTTCGGTGAGTTTGTGGCATAAATATGTAAGTGACATGCTTTTAACACGTCATAAATGTCTATTTGTGGTCTATGACAAACTGTTTGTTTGGTAGTTTTAATTGTAAGAATACTAAAAACTCTGAACTGCACTGCATTATTTAAAGCTTAAGTCTAGCAATGGCTGGTAAATTTCAAATCATGCAGCCAAGTCCGTTGGTATATGGAGAAATAATATATGTATACACATTTTTGTTTTAAAAATTTTTTTTGTTCATTCAAAAAAGTTAGGTTTTATTGCTATATATCAAAAGTCTTTACTTTGCAAGATATTTTTTATTTTTATTTAAACCAATGACAAAAATTAAAAAAAAAACTCCCTCAGGGAACAATTTATTAGGTTCTAGTGGGTTGTGTGCAGCTCTCAAGAAAAACGAAAAATTCATATAAAATGACACACAAGAAATGGAAATGAAATTTTATTCTATCAAAACTTTTTAAAACAGTATGCAGCTCTCAAGAAAAAAATGCTGTTATAATTATCATGATAAAAATATAGTAAGGTAGAACCGCTGAGAGTCACTTTTAAAATTCTTGACGTTTCCAAACAATTTAATTTTTAAATTTACTCACAACTCACACACACATTTTCATTTTCAATCTCAAGCAACAACAATTTCGAACAATTTCAATTTTTTGTTTTCACTTTTATATGATTTTAAAATGTTGGCAAACTTCAAAAAAAAATCATGGCCGACAAATTGAGAGAACGGTTATACCTTGCTATGTTTTTATCATGATAATTATTTCTTTAAAAGAATTAAGAGCAACAGCAAAGTACTTTTTCAAGCAAGAGAGACAAAGAAAAATATTTCTTGTGATTTTTCTTGAGAACTTCAGAGAGCCCTTATGAAACGAAATAATACCAACATTGAACAATTTAAAAAAGTACAGAAATTGGGGAAACTACGAGGTTAAAAAAAATGCCACAAAAATTTTTTTCCAAAATCTTAAACATCATAAAATGTGTTCCTCTATTTTTTAAGCAAGAAAAATACTCTATTCCGAAGCTAATATTAGATATACCGTCGCACTATCTGCATGATTTTAAATGGATCCAGGCTATTATATATTGAATTTTAATTAAATTAATTTTCTTTGTTTCTGTATCTCTTCGTTTAGCTACATTGAAAAGATTAAAAGTACTGGTGCAACATATATGGCCGCTTCTGGTTTAACGGCAAATACTTGTAATCAAGTGAACTTTTGTCATGTTACCGCTATGGCAGAGTATGCATTGCAATTATTTGATAAAATCGAAGAGGTTAATACACATTCGTTCAACAATTTTCGGCTGCGTATAGGTAAGAAAACATAAACTTAAGTTTTGCTTTCGCTACGGCGAATTCAAAGGCGCGCTTACGTATGGATATGGTGAGATATGATAAAATGCGTTTATGTATGTACGATATGAAAACTCTTCGCGAATTTTTTTGTAAATTTTTGAACACTTGAAATTAAGGACAAAATAGATTATTAGAAGAATAAATAAAGTCGAAGGACAGCATTAAGAAATATGGTACGGATGGTCACCATAAATATTTCACTCATTTTCAAATCAATAAAAACATCATAAAAACTAAGCAATTACCTTTTCTTAAAATTTCGAGTAAAGTTTTGAAATTTTAATAACAATCATTTGCTTATTTTTTGTGCATGCGGCCCAATATCACGGTTTGCACGAGTAGCTAATTGTCCTCATTAAAAATGGCGCCTTAAATGTCAGCCTTCAAATGCCAGATATATGTATATTAGCAAATCTTACGAGTAGCTACATTCTTCGACAAAACTTGTCTTTGGTCAAAAATGGTGGGACACTTATCTAAGATATTGCTTTATCTTCAGTTTTGCATAAAGAACAAAATTCCATCGCGAAATTGTATTCATATGATATATTAAAAAAGTCAAAATGACAACTTGTGCTCATGTACCCGTAGTTGTGTATGTAACGTATACACCCAGTAACACCATACACTGCCAGAAAACACGTTTGTACATATGTATATAATGATTTCTTCATGTATGTAAAAATCTCATAAACAATTTCGAGTGTGCCAATACAAATTGTAAAACTAGAATTTTTTTCGCAAATCATTGGCATCTTATAATCATTTCAATTTTTTTCATTTGCTTTTATTACTCTAGATTGGTTCGTTTTGGCAAGAAGAATATTTCCACCTTTTAATGTTGGCATTCTTATGCCGAAATTCCACTAGGCATTAAAATGACTTAACGTAATGACAAAAATATTTTTAATGCCCAAGTTTGCCATTAAAATTTTTGCCGTTTAATGCCTAGTAGAAATCCAGCATTAAACTTTTAAAATTAAAAAAAAACATTAAATTGGAAAAATTACAAAATAGCTGTAATTTTTTAATTTGGTGGCACACTCTTGAAACTTCACAGATATGCTTTATTTGATGCAAACTTTCATTGCCTCTAATATGAATATTGTATTTGAAAACTTCCCAAAGTTATTAAAAAAAAAACATTATAATTTTTTCGAGGTGCAATAAAAAAATTGGTGAAGGCCAAAATTTGTCAAATACTTGATTTATTTCTTATTGCACTTGTTTCTGGAACTCCAACTGCAAGAAGAATGCTTTAGCGTTTTTTTTTTCTGCCGAGAGAAGGGAGTGACACTTATAAAAACAACTCTTGAGATTTTTTTCATATATGGGCATCAACACCCCATAGTGAAAAAAATCCGCAGAGACCTTTCATGTGACACACTAGTTATTCATTGATTGATGATAAAGTGACCGCATATCTAACAGTCCCTTAATAACCCCATCTCTTCAATACAGTTATTTATAACTTATCTTTGTTTATCTTTTCTCCTTTTAAGGTATAAATATCGGGCCTGTTGTGGCTGGTGTTATTGGAGCGCGTAAGCCGCAATATGATATTTGGGGAAATGCCGTAAATGTGGCGTCACGCATGGACTCTACTGGGTTGCCAGATCATATACAGGTAATTCGTTATTAATTGCTACGGAATCGCTGGATGCAAACTAACTCCACAAAGCCTATTAAATATTGTTGAATACAAAGCTATGAATATTCTTTCCCGCAACAAGAGCAAATATTTACTTACATACTTAGGCACATAAGATGCTCACAAAATTTCAAAGAAATAAATAATATTGATTATTGCTTTATGTGGCGATTGAGTTAGAGTTTAATAAACAAAATAGGATGAAACAGTAAAATATGTATTGATGTATTGTGGTAGCTAAACAAATATCATTCATCATGGCCAAAAAATAATTTTAGTCATACAAAAAGATGAATGCTGCTTGACAAAGCACTACCACACAATGAATATACAATATTAAATTGCCAATCTTTATGCGATATGAATTGGTACAGCTGGTTCAGCTAAAGCTTTTGTTTAGCTTACATATACATACATATGTAACAATAAATAGAAACTATTAATATCCAAATAACTATGTATGTATGTATGTATATACTTTAGGGCAGTCCTGCCCAACGCTGTATGAACTCCTTAAGCAAGCGCTCTGTGCTTGGCATGTCTGCTTTAGGGTGTCCTAGAATATAAGTGATGCATTTTTTCTGAGAATTTCGATACGCATACTCTCAAAGCTGTTTTCTTTTGACCTAACTAACATATATACAAATGTATAAAGTTTTATTGCTGTAGAATGACGATAACCCGCGGCGACTTGAAGTTGAAGTTTTGATGCAGAACTTGTACTGGGATAACCGTTTTAAATCAGTTTAAGAAACACCCATCTAACGGTCGCTCTTTAGTTTCAATCAATGTCGCTAGGGAGACTACCGTTTCAGTTGTAGACTTTAGGCAAAACTTCCTAAGCATAGTTAAGCTTTCGTTTCAGGAAAACAAGACTGCCGACTCTAATGCATTAACTCGTGCTACAGCAACTTCAAGACTAGCTTTTTTATCGATCACAGCTTTATACTGGAGTTAGACGATGTGCACTACGACCTTAGGTCTATTGTGCCCTCCAGAGCTCATCATAACCCCACGTCCAGCCCTAGTGCTCTGATGAAACCGAGCAGTTTCGAGGGCGGCCACAATCGTCTCATTTGTGTTAGTCTTCTTCTCGTCGTGAGGTTTCAGGTGGTCGTCTGGACTCTTCCCCAGGGTATGCATATGGGCCCGCAGGCTGCAGTGACCCATTAGCAGTCCTGTTTTGAAGTTGAAATTAGTTTTATCCTGGCTCTTTTGAGGTTAAAATTTCCTAGAAGTCCTTTCGCCTGTCTTATTCCAGACGTGTTATCCCAATGTACTCGACTTAGCTAAGGTTTTTCTTCTCTAGGAAGGTTTCTGTTTCCATAGGGCGAATGGCTGCTGCTTTTCTAGCTAGTCTGTTAGCCAGCAGATGCACTATGTTGTGTTCCCCCAGGGTGTTCAATTCCATTACACATTTCCATATAACCCGTGCTTTAATCTCATGCGGCGATACGGCTATTAGTGCAGCCTGACTTGTCGCAGGTAGATGACACATGTGATGTCTTTTTGATTGTTTCTGCACAATTACTTCCGCACAAAATTTGCTGGCAAAAACATCCGCTTAAAAGAGTCTAGGGTAGTTCGCCAAGAGAATGGAGTTCTTGGTTTTGGGGCCGTATATTCCTTCCACTATACCGCCGCTCATGAGATCACCACTTACAAAAAAGGTAAATTTCTTTTATAATTAGTACTTATAGATTGTGAAAAGGATCAGAGAAGCAGGCGTTCACTTTCAAACACAGGTGGTTAATGCCACGCCACAACATGCTGCTTAGGAAGTCTCGAGATGTAGATTACTTCTTCAATCCGTCCATACAAAACTAATTTAAAAAGCTAGCGCAAAAAAAATGGAATTGATCGGTTGGAGAAATCTAGCTAACCAACTTTTACAAAGAAAATGCGTTCAAAGTTAAAAAAAATAATAAATAAATTTCTATTCTATTAACTCCCTCTTCTCGAGCTAAAAGAATGAAGATAAAGGTTCACTGAAATTTTATATCTAAAGGTTATCCTTACTAATATTATAAAACCGAAAGTGAGTTTGTTTGTTTATTATGCTTTCACGCTTTAACTACTCAACCGATCATCATGAAATTTTGTGCACACTGGTGGAGGCGTGGCACCTCCCATACAAACGGAATTTTTCATACTGCATATCTTAGGATATATTTGTGATAGAGTACTAGAACTTGGTGTGGAGATATATAAAATCAATACCACACTTATGGAGGAGGGATGCCACCTGTTTAAAAAATCAAATTCAACTTGAATTAAGCGAATTACTTATTTCAAAATTATATAAAAAAAAATTAATGCCAATAGGCTTAAAAAAGTTGTAGTTTGAAAATATATTGAAAAGGGTTGCCACAAATTTAAATAAATTATTTGAAAGCTAATTGAAAAATTAAAATATGGCTGTCAAATGAAAGATTGTTTAGAAACCTTCACATTAAAAATTTAGAATATTAACGGGTGGTAACCCGTTAAAAAATTAAATTCTATTAATTTGAATGAATCACTACAATATGGGTATCAATCGAAAGGCTTTTGATAAGGGTTTTACTTCTTAACTAGCTGTAGGAGGGTTGCCACCTGTTTGGAAAATCATATGCTACTTGAACTAAGGGAATTAGGTTATTATAATATGTATCACAATATGAGTGTCAGACGAAAGGGGTTTAATAAGGTTATAGTTGGAAGATATTTTGAAAAGTGTTGCCACCTGTTTTAAAAGTCGAATTTAATTAATTATGCTCAAGTTAAGGTGTCAAATTTAAGAGCTTGAACATATAGAATTTTGTGGGGGTATTTGAAGGGGGTTGTCACCTGTTTTAAAACTACATTCAAATACAATTAAATGATATATTACAATATAGGTTTTAAACGAAAGACTATTGAAAAGTCTTTATTTCTAAGCTACAAATGTATTGCAGTGTTTCCATAATTTAAACTTCAAATTTAGCTTGAATTATAGGAATTAGGTAAGTTTAATAAATACATAATACATACATATCGTCACCTAAGGGTGAAAAGATGCCAAGACGAAAAATCGATGTAGTTACGTATTACCTGCCATTCTGCATCAAAGATAAAATTTCGAAAAAATGGACTTGGCACCTTTTCACCTTTAGGTTATGAATCACAATATGAGTATCAGACAACGAGGTTTAAAAAGGTTGCCAACTGTTTAAACAGTTAAATTCAAACTATTCAATAATTTCAATGAATTATTAAAATATGGCTGAAAGGGCTTCATTCTATAGGTACTACATCTAAGGAAGAAAAAGTATCACAAGTGAGAAGGTTAAAAAAGTTTTAGTTTGAAAATTGAATTGAAAAATTGTAAAAAAATTTAAATCCTCCTGTTTTTGGCATAGTTTAAGTATGTTGAGTTTTATTGAAACAAATCAGACTTTATGTAGCACTCTATTTCATACACTCAGCGAAGCGAGTTAGGGCGATCTGCTCATATATAAAATTGGACTACCCTAAGTTGGTCACAATGAATTTCCACTGTATTGTGTATAAACAGAGGCCAAGAAAGTCGGTGACATTATTTATTCACGTAAATATTTTGCTGCTCTTTCTCTCTCTCCCCCTGCAGAATGGATACAGTCAGATGCTTTTGTATTATCTCGCAGCGAAACTTATTTTGCTTTCTTATTACTTGAGTTCCCACGTGGGCTGAGGCGTATGAGTGACTTTGTTTATTAAGATGCCGTCTGCAGTTGTGCTTTCCTGATGCTCCTCACTTGCATGTACATACATACAATCTACATATAGATACACGCATAAATAATAGGAATGCGATTTTTGCCGCTTTACTGATTTTGCAATCAACTCGTCAACATATTTACGCAATTTCCGCATTTTCATAGTTCTTTTTGTTTGCCTTTTTTGCACTCTTCACGCCAGGTCACACAAGAGGTATATCAAATTCTGGTCGGACGCGGCTTTGAGCTTACCTGCCGCGGTAGTGTTAACGTCAAGGGCAAAGGCTCTATGATTACATACTTTTTGAAAGGAAAGTCAGCGCAGCTACCAGCGCTGGAGGCAAACCATATCAATGCGATGCCGAAGACAATAAATGAAGCAACTGGCACTGCAGCAGCTGTGGAGGCCGAGAAAAATAATAAGAATATTGATTTGGCTAATTGTGGCACAGTGATATCGCCCATCAAAGAAAGCACAAAGCCACTATCTGACACCCAACTAGAAGAGAAAAAGTCTGAGTTTATATCATCTCCACCACAAGTATCAGCGGAGGAGGCAGCACCACTTTCCTCGTCTCCTCCAATCGATCAAACGAACAAAGTCATCACAGACTCTGGCGACGATCTCTCACCCGATTCGGAGCTAAATTCCTACATGCAGAGTGCCACCGCACAGCGCCGAAAGTCGCTCTGCCGCCAACACAACATATCCTCCTCCTTTGGCAACACAACCAGCTCTAGTTCTGCACTCACGCCCTCAGCACTCTCAAGCAGTTCGAGCGTGGTTACTATAGCCATTTTACCAGCAATTGCCAAAGCTGGCTCCTCGTCCATGGAGAACTCCATGGAGGGTACTATGGGCAGCAGCTCAATGAATACCACCACATCTGCCAACTCGACCAGCGGGCGCAGCAACAGCCAACCGCGTACCTGTGTCGATGAACTGAAGGAGGCATTCAAAGATGAAAACGAAAAGCCACCACTCAAAGACTCAATTGAAAATCTACAAATTTTACTACAAAATAATATCAGCCTTTCGGATCTCAGCAATAAGCAGCAATTGAATCTACGATCAAGCGATGCCAAAATGCAGCAACTGAAAAAGGAAACCATTGTCACATTCCGCACGGAGACCGCTGCACGTCGACAACGCAAATCAATTACAACGATCGCTACGACAATGCAGCTACGCAGCTTTGACGAATATATTACATCTGGCACAAGTACAACCACCACAGGTGTGCTCAGCAGTGCGCAAAGGTTGAATGATGGCGCGCCAAAAGGTGACAACGACAATGACGATGAATATAATAGAGTAGTTTGTAACGGCGTAAATCAACGCCCGCACGACTGGTCCAATCGTCTGGGGCTCGATACGCATCGCAGTCCTATAAGAAGTTCACAGTCGATGAGTCCCATCGGATTGGTGGGAAGCGAAGTGTTTGTGCTGCCCAATAGCCGTAGCATGATTGTGTTCAGCAGCAGTGGCAGCAGCAGCAGTAGCGGCGGTGGCGGTGGCGGCGGTGGCGGCGCTGTTGGAAGTACGAGTAGTGGCAGCAGTGCGACGAGCGCCAACAACACCATCGCTTATATGCTGCAGGATGTGAGCACTTAAGGCGTCTGTCTACTAGACTCTAGCGAAGGCTAGGGTGTATACATATTTGGCGGGCGAAACACCTGGATTATGTTTGTAAGTTAATGCATAATTAAAGTGAATGAATCTCATTTTAGCTTTTAATATGTAAGTATTTACAAGTGTACCATGTAATTATGTAAATGCATTTTTATGTAAGTATTACTATTATACAGAAGAAACATATTTAAGAGTATTCGTAGATAAGTGAGGAGCTAACAGTAAATGTTTACATATTTTAGAGAAGGTAATAAAGTTTATATTTAAGTAAGTAGATTTATTAAACAGAGTGTAAATATGATGAACACATAAATCGAATTGCAAAAGGACCAGTGCAGGTACATACGTTAGTTTAATAGTAAATAGGAAAATTGCATAAGTAGGTATAAAAGTATTTAATACTTACATATATCTGAGGTATTTTAGGTTCCTATTTTTTCCTTATCCATAAAATCTGTCCAGTACGCGCCACCATTTTCGAGCTAATTGTAGGATTGGGAAAAAACTCGATCTTATGAAATATGTCTATAGAAAAGCTTGATATAGTCGAAGCCGGTTCGCTGCTATCTGATAAACTTAATTGACGCGGAAACTGTGGCTCCAATCTTATTCGAGCCTTTTCATACAAATTCCATCGGATAATTGAGACTTCGGCTAAATGAAAAAAATCGGTTTAATAAAACAACATTTATATCGCGAAATTCGAAGATACACTAGTTAAGATATGTTTAAATGCAGCTATTTTTTGAACTCAACTTTATAACACAAAATGGCCCTGGAAGTGTTTTCGCAATTATAACAACTCTATTAAACCAAATAAGTAATCAGCTGATTTCATAGTTTATTATGTTACTATCCACGTACTCAGTATTAATACTCAACTCGTTGGCAATGATTTTTTTTTAAGTCTGCCAGCATTTTAAAATCATATAAAATTAAGATTAAGAAAATTTGTTCGAAATTGTTGTTTGGGATTGAAAGTGAGAATGTGTGTATGAGTTTGTGTTTAAATCAGCAACCGTAACAGTTATAAGTTATACAACAAAAAATTTATTTTAATTATTGTGCTTCAATTTTTATTTTGCCTTCAACAAATAATAGGTACATCATGAAATTTATTTTGCGTTAAATAATTGTTGTCTGATGAGTTTTATTTTTCATTCAAAAATTAAAAGTTGTTTGGTGAGTTTTATTTTCAATTACAAAATAAAACTTAAGGGCTGAAGTTTTTATTTTTTTGTTTGAAGCGCTTGAGTTTTACTTTATGAAAGAAAAATAAAACTCACAAAATATCTAATTTATTCAAAAAATAAAACTCATCTCATAACAAATATTTTGCGAACGAAAACTAAAACTCAACAAATAACAATTATTTTCTGAACGTAAAATAAAAATTATTAAATAAAGGTTTATAGTAGCATATCATAGGTAACATATCATAAGTTCTGGATGCTTCTTTAATAATGATTCTTTAAGATACAATTGAGATTCGCTAACAGTTATTTTCGGTCTCTGGTTTAAAACTTTAAAATTAAGTTGCTTGAAAACGTCAAGAGTTTTAAAAATGTCTCTCAGCTGTTCTACCTTACTATGTTTTTATCATGTTCTTTAGAACGATTTATATACTATTGCATACGTTCAAACTAATTTGAGAAGCAATTGTCCCGCAGTGAAGTCGGTCCGGTCCCTCAAAAGCGTGCTCTTTGAACACGTTAACAGCTTCTTCTGGTGATGAAAATCGTCATCCGCAACGTTTATCTTTAATGCGTGAGAACAAGTGATGAAATGAATGATGTTTGAATAGATGTGTGAAAGATTGCATTGTAGTTGTATACACTTGCCTGATTATATGGTTATCATAAAATGTACTGTAAAACGTTCTCAGAATTTTCATAGGTCTGTTCGATGAATGCACTAAAAGTGTAGAAAAGTGCAGTGCAGACCGACATTTGACATTTGATGCAAGAAAATATGTACCTGGCAAAATTCAAAACGACTCAAATGTCATTTAAGACCTTTTACAGACCCTTTTTTCCAAATACATTTGAATAAGTAACATCTTTTGATTGAGTTCCAATCGAACCAGGGGTCTTATGGAGTAGTAGCACGCATCTCTACCCACAACAATTCCGGCTCCCATTATTTTTATTAAATTCGTAAGAATGCCACTTATGATTTAAAATTTCATCCTCTTCTCACCTTCAAGAAGGAAATGCGAAGGAACGTGCGCGACTATCTGAATTTATTAACCGTCCGTTCCTTTAGTCGTCAGATTTGCAGGATTTAGTCAGAAGTCGTTCTCATACCGAAATTTACAATATCTTCAGTAATATCTCTCGGACTAAATCTGACTATTTCCGACTAAATCTTGTAAATTTGACGAGTAAAAGAACAGACTGTATACTTATGTAAAAAAATTAAACTTTTTTCTAAAAAGGTATTCTACTTCTTGGATCTTCTAAAAAATCGACGGTAATTTTTAGCCACTTGAAACTTGCACATTATTAGACTAAAATTGAATGGGCTATAAAACTGTGTACTCAAAAAAATTCTACCGTTTCTGAGAAAAAAGTTTGAAATTTGGGTGAAAATTTGTTGCACTTTTTTGCGGTCTTTTAAAAAGTTTTAAGCTTGAGTTTATATGGGTTTTGTTAGAGAACTGCATTTTAATTGAAAATTCTTAAAAATAAATAAATAAACATGAGTGGCAAACGATATCACTTTGAAATGGGTGTGCTATTGTATTGGCCAATACTGTATAAACAGAATATCATTTCGAAAGGAGCAATCTACACTTCAAGTTGAAATTTTAAAGGTTAAGCGCAACTCGTCATAAGAGTATTAGTCAAGGAACTTAAAAAATAAATGCATCTTCGGTTTATTACTATCTACATATTCAGTATTAACATTATAATTTAGTAATGTACATAATATGCATAATACGTATATTAAGTTGGTTGAAAAAAAGGGTTTTACTAGCATATTTTTGCTTTCTAGTCATAATAAACTTCCTTATTCCGAGCCCATGCAATGAGCGGTGAGCGGCCACTTCAATAGCGTATCATATGTTTTAATTTTAAGTTGCTCACCGCTCAGCCGCTCGCCGCTTTGCCGCTCATTGCGTGACCTCGGCCTAAGCATGTATTCCACACATACATACATACAGTGAATGTTAGTCAAAATCGTACAGTAAAGTTTTTCCATATTTTGAAAATATATATTTTTATACCTTTGATGAGTATGAAATGGTATTATAACTTTGGTCCGATGTTTGTAAGTACCAGAACAAAAAGAGATAGACCCATGAAAATGTATACTTATATGATCAGAACGTCGAGCTGAGTTGATTTATCCATGTCCGTCTGTCCGTCTGTCTGTCTGTTTGCATGCAATCTAGTCTCTCAGTTTTCGAGATATCCGGACCAATTTGGTAGGTTGGTGTATTTTTATAATGTATTAATCATTTGTCGGAACCGGAAGAATCGGATAACTATAACCTATAGCTCCCATACAACTGATTGTTCAGATATGAGATTTTTCGTTATAATTCATCCATTTATTTAGCTAGGACCATGAAATTTCGCGCTGTTTTCACTCATTATCAACAGAAGACTTACAGTGAAAATAACAAAGATCGGGTCACTATAACCTGCAGCCCCCATACAACTGATTGTTCAGATATGAGGTCTTTTATCATAACTCCTCCATTTATCCACATGAAATTTCGCACCATTTTCACTTATTATTAACAGAATACGTACAGTGAAAATAACAAGGATCGGGTGACTACAACATATATCTTCCATACATCTGATTGTTCAGATATGGGATTTTACTGTAAAACTCCTTTATTTGAACAGCTAAAACCGATAAATTTCGTAAGATATTTTATAAATAATAATACAAAGTCTACTGAGAAAATCGTCAAAATCTAAGCTGTATAAGCTTTATCTCCTATAGCACTGATTGTTCAGATACCAGTTTTTGCGATATATCTCCTTTATGTACGAAACTAAACCCAATAAATTGTGTTACCGGTTTACATACCGATCACATAGCAGTGAAAATTACTTAGATTGGTGCCATATAAAGTATATCTTCCATACCTCTGATTGTTTAGATGCGATTTTTTATATAAGTATGTAACTCCTCTATCGATGTATGCAGATGTATTCAAAATCAGTAATCTGTCAAACTAAAATTTGCAGATGTTCATGAAAGGTATGAAGCCTTCGGCATAGCCGAAGACAGCGCTGCTCTTACTTGTTTTTATTTAAATTTTATTAATTTTTAATAAAAATATGGTTCATACTACCGCAAATTATATACAACTCAAAATGTCTAACTTTGTAACAATCAAAAAAAAAAAATCGTCAAATTTTCATCAAAATTTCACACTTTTTATTCAGAATTTTTAGAATGTTTTTTGGTAGGCAGCTTTTTATATGTATAGCCCATCCAATTTTAGTACAATAAAGTGCAAGTTTTAAATCGCTACAAAATACCTTCGCATTTTGGGAATTTTTTTTTTGGCTTTTTCTTTTTCTTCCATATAACGCAAAAAAAAATTCTCAAAAAACAACGGTATTTCTTAGCGGCTTTAAACTTGCACTCTATTACACTAAAATTGAATGGACTATAAAACTGAAAGCCCAAAAAAATTTTGATTAAAAATGTGAAGTTTTGATGAAAATTAATTTTTTTTAATTGTTACAAAAATAGGAACTGTGAGTTTTAGAGATTTTGTTGTAGTGTAAAGTATATTTTTATTTCAAATTAATAAAATTTCAATGAAACAAAATATATTTAAAAAATATGGAGAAAAATTTACTGTACGATTTTGAATGACACTCACTGTACACACTATTATAGTACAAACACGGTTAAATTTTAAATCTGCCATCGAATGGCTAATTCTATATAGCGTTGAAAGGATATACGAAAAATAAAACATTTGTAAATACGTATGTACATATGTTTGT